GGGGGGGGGGGGGTGAAGAACTGGAAAGTACCTCAAAAAGTTTCCCCTTCGATATGAGGAAGGACGCCACAAACCGCAAATCGATATCATAATTAGAACTAAAGTTATGGCCAGTGATGCGTAACTTTTGAATAACCCTGTACGACGGCGGTTTCCTTTGAACATCCCGTTATACCGATATAGGTATAACCATTATATGAGTGGTATACTTTCGTTTAAAAAAAATTGTATGTAAATCTGCTATGAGGTACCTCATAAGGAAATACATAATCATGAATTTGAGGATAGGTATTACATTTAATTTTAGATCAGATGAACCATACGTTTACGAGAATAATAAAGAGGGGAAACCATTATATAAAGTGAACATAAAACTATCGTGGATTTCTTGTCTTCAGTAACAGAGGAATAAAGGAGTTTGATAACGATTACCTAGAGGACCATTAAAAATAATTTAATCACCTTTTCAAATTCCATTGTTTCCTTTTCAACAGTCGCCGTTACCTCAATCACTTCCAAGTTTGCAACATCTAAAGCTGGTTCTAGTTTCAATAGTTCCTCTTGCATTATGGATATTTGACTAGCTGCGTTTTCCAACTTTTCAAGCCCAATTTCGTAATTTTTCATTGACTTTCTTAAATCACTGAAAATCAATGTTAAAAACAGTTACCGTGTTTAATTGAGTAGAGCATTTTTTGGTGTCCTCTAGAAAAGGGGACAAAAAGATGACAAACTTTACATGCTTTTTTGGGTTTTATCCAACTACAGATGAATCAAATTCTATCAAATCAAATGAAGGCACCAAACCTTGTTTTCTCTTTAGAACATAGACCCAGGTCAGTGTATGGTTAATATGTTCTAGCGACGAAGTCCCTCGATTTGCTGTTTCACTATTTTCCCCGATTTGCGCTGCTCCGTTACAGAACAGATCGGGGGAATGGCGGAGGAGGGAGAAAGAAATCGAGGAAATCTTTTGGCAACGCAGACAGCCCTCGCCACCGTTAAGCAAAGATTATTACACTCAACTTTCCTAACAGACTGACCTGGGTCTATTGACCTTGGCTTTAGAATACCTATTCTAGAGAGTATGGAAGGTTAGACGCCCGACTGGATAGGGAAGAATTGAAATAGAAGTTGAGCTGTGAGCAAGAAGTGGCGTGGGTTGGCACGAGAGTGCCAGTGCGCGGCGAGCGGGATTTCCATACTCCTGCACTGATTGGCAAAGCGAGAGTTGCGGACGGACGATGTATGAAAAATTGCCTGCGTGGAGGTGGTCCGGCAGCAACATATCCGCCGCCAGTCTCAGGAAAAAAATAGAAAATAGAAATTGCGTACGTTGCCAGCGAGCGCGCTGCGAGCGCTTCTGTTTCTGTTACTTAGCATTGAGTCGGGCCTCTAAATTTCCATATTCTCTGACCTATTCAGCTCAAATTTCGAGCTGCAAGTAGGTAAGTGCTTCCGGGGCATTAAGTTTAGGGGACATCAAGGCTCTCACCCTAAATTGGTCATTTGCAACCTGAGTTCAATGTCTGATTTTTTTGAAGTTGACATACCCACACCGAGAAAAGTCGGTCTCTAGTTGGATGAACAATAATTCCTGATAAATATGCCACGGCAGGAATTTCTTTTCGGCCTCAAACCGAAGTTATGTTACCGCATAGAGACGTCTTGTGATTTTAAAAATATTATTTGCTGATTGATTGTACACAAATTCCTGACCATATTTGACAGAAAAATTTTCATTTCTATAAATAATCGTTGCAGAAGGATTACAACTTTTTTACTTGTGTCTGTGTATGAATATAAACGGGGAGCTGAAGCCGTTTCAGATTCTCCACGAGTGTGTACGGTGTGAAACCTGTGAGTAGGGTGAAAATAGCGCTTTGGGCCCCAAACATGCGCGGTTTGCGTGGTGTGCTTTTTACCATCTGGCGACGCTGTGAGATATTATATTTCAAAATTTAATATTCCAAAAAAAATTATCTACCTATATATTTAAAATCCTAAGGCTTTTTTGTCCTCCTTCGATCTAGGAGACTACACGACCGATTTTCCTCGGGTTTGTTTTAAATGAAAGCTTTTAGGCTTTAGATGTGCCAGCACCCTTTGGTTTTTCGATTTGCACGACCGACGTTGCGAAATTCACCTCGATTTAAATTAACACATTCCCGGCTTACCGGTAGACAGTTTGTGCTACTTCGATCTCGGAAACTATTAGACCGATTTTCCTCGGTTTTGTTTTAAATGAAAGTTCTTAGGCTCTAAATGTGCCAGCACCCCTTGGTTTTCGATTTGCGCGACCGATGTTGCAACATTTACCTCGATTTGATAACGACATATTTGCGTGTTTGCCGCTGGACAGTTTAATTACAAGTAGCAGCAAAATTTGGCTCGCGGAGCGAGTAATTGGGGGTCCAGGGGGCGGACCCTCCGGCTGGTGGCGCAAACGAGCGTACCGAGCTGAAGCAGCAAGTATTTTTATAATTGTAAAAACGTTGCTAGATGTTGCGAAATAGATAATAAATTAATGGCACAACTTGGAAATATCGCATTCAACAGTGTTGCCAGGTGGTTCACAAAATTCGTATTTTCGACTTAGAATATTTTGTAATGGGGAACAGACAGTAGGGTAAACAAGGAAATTTTAAGATAGTTATCGTGTCAAATTGTTCATAAAAATGCAAATGAAAAAGTGTTGGTAACGGGGAGCACGATGTTGTTGAATTGTGCATTAAATTATTAAAAATGAGCGAATGTTAGGCGGGCGGTGTTTAACAATTAAGCATTAAAATGTAAATTATGAGGGTTGGCAGACTGGGCATTGTTTTAGAATTGTGCATTACATTTAATTTTGAGGGCCAGGCATTGTTATAAAAGTTTGCATATGCAACATTAAATTTCAAAATTCAGAGTAACAAAATAAAAAAAATTAAAATGATTAAATTTAAAAACTTCAATGTTTAAAATTTTAAAAATTAAAACAAAATCAAAATTTAAAATTTAATTGACGATGTTGTAAAACCATGCATTCAAAAGGAATCTACATTTTAATGGATTGCCTAACTGTACATTCGAAATTTATTCATAGAGGCGCAAGTGTGTACCAGAGCGCTGTAGGTGTGTATCAGAATCATGGACAGTAGGCATCGGACAGTGGGCATTGAAGGCATTGGTATCGGATGCTTCAGTGGAGTGTGGTTTTTGCGGACGTGTATCAGAACTTTGGGACTATTTGTTTCTCCCTTCTCGGGTTTGATATTGGAATATGTAGTTTGAATTATAAGACGGACTGGGGTTCTTCTTTGGGAGGATGGGAGGGGGGACATGACAATTGTAGGTTTCATATTCGATATTCGTTTTACTGCCGGGTTTGGATGTTGAATCCTTGAGGCCGAAACATCGCGATTTTAGATTTTTTCTTCGGATAGTAGACGAGAGTAAATAGTTTTGAAGCCGTAACATTGGCTGGACTTAGGATTTTTGCTTTGACTAGTTTACGATTATAACACATGTTAGAAATGACATGATAGTTTCAATTTACATTTCAAACAAGTATATAACATGATTCTTTACGTGTAATACAAAAAATGACCTTATCCACGCGAACAAGCCCGTTTTCATGATACGACGTTCTTGGGATAACTCGACGAACGGAACAAGAAAAATGAAGACTGTTAGCAAAGACGACGAGACAGCGAACCGCTACCCGAGAGCATCCGGCGCATTGTTTGCGGACCATCCAATTGCAGCTCGACGAACATGATGGTTTGTTTGCTACAACATGCGAACCGATGGAAATTCTGCAACATATGCTTGTATTTTAAGAAAACTTACTCTCACATCCCGAAGCAATTAATCCGCGCTAACGCAAACCTACTCGTAGTTTTCAAACGCCAACTGACGATACATCTACAACGATCACGTAAAAACCGACTTCCCGTTTGAAGATTTCAGACATATCTGCTCGTTGTGCTGGTACGACAATTACGGATTTTTAGTCATCGATAAAGATAGTAATAAAAATAACAGAGGAAAGTACCGGAAAGGTTTCGATACTTACGTAAAGCGAGTAATAGCTTGTTCTCTTCGCTCCGATAACGAAAAAATACGACCGATGTCGACGACATTTCACAGCAGGGTTATGAAGAAGATGACGAACCGTTCAAAGATGCAAAGGACAAAAGAACAAACGGAGTCGCGCTGAAGACGAAGATTCTTCAACGACAAAAATTATAACGACTGCTCCGCATGTATAGTACTGTTTGGACGATCCGATGAAACGCCCGAAAGATTCCGATACCGTGTATGGCGTGCGGGAAGCATTCAACGACAATTCGCTGATCGGTAACCCTACCGTCAAATTCGATTAAGGCCGCGGCGATTCATCTTGGACGGTGACGAGGAGGAGGCAGGGACTGATAACGAAGGTTGACCCCCAGCATTATGTCGAGATGCCGCGTAAGGGATGCCGGATGCCTAAGTAGCCAGATCTTCCAGCATACGTTGGTAGCCGGCTCTCTAGGTATGCTGGCATCCCTCGCTGTGAAGGATCCAAGGATACTAGGGTGGACGGCTACATTGATATGCTGAGATGCTAATACCCACCAGGTATTCGGCAACTAGCCGGCTATTGAATGCACCGATATTGGCCGTCACAGTTCGCGGAACTTCCATTGAAGCGCTCGCATTGAGGGCATTGTCTCCATTGTCCGTCGCACAGAATTTCCAGGGTGAACGTCGAGCCGGATTTCGACGTATCCAGCTTTCAAGTGCTGCTATAGGATCCAGCTACTATGCTCTGTCTGGTCGCCGTCTAGCCGGCTACCTAAGTATTTCGGGATCCGTATGCTGAAAATGATATGCTGAGGTTCGAAGCTTTCGACCTTCCAGCATAGCATACTATACGGATGCTCCGAGATCCCGGAGCCTAGTGCATGTGCATAGCTTAGTAGCCAGGATCCCGTATCCGGGCTAGATACTTGCGGCCAGGTAACCGGTATCAGTCCCTGGGAGGAGGTGCTCGAACTGACACCCGGTTTCTTTGAAGTAACCTTTAAGAAATATTCGAGTTAATATACGGATGATGATAGCGAGAAATTCCAACGAGTCGTTGCGCTGACCATTTTGCATCGATGAGATCATCATCCGAACGGTAAACCGAAGTTGAACCGGAGTCACAAATACCACGATCTCATCAAACCTCCGTTTCCCACATTAAGTCGGAGATCAACCGGGAAGACACCGCGGAAGTAGAGCTCCATGAAGTGGATTACATTCAATAAATAGAGTTTAGGCACGATGAGTCATACCGACGGGTTCGGAAGATCGAAAGCCGTATACGGTCGCAACTCGAGGTAAAGACCCATAGGTGACGGTTTCTAACTGAGTTCGGACGGTAATTATCGTTTATGGGACAAACAGATCCATCTACTTCAAGGTCTCAAAGAGAATTCCTACGCGGTGAACAGACAATGGACGGACTTGAGGTGAACGGAAGCTATGAATTTAGGACAAAGATTTCATGGAGAAAATCAACCAATGCAAGGAGTCCATTAAAAATGTCAAGTCGGAACTATCGCTGCACCTAAGTATCATGCAACGACTCGAGACGAAATAATCACTACCTACTCAAAAGCAGGATCC